CCCCAAAACCCCAAAACCCCAAAACCCCTTTATCTCAGAATTTGTTGAAATTTGTACTAAGCATTATAGAAAGGTTGGCAATCACGTTCTAACATATATTCACATTCCTAACAAACTTTAAAGCGCTCAAATATTTGATATTTGAAATTTTTATAAAGGCTTACTTAAAAGCATGAATATTTCCAAAGCATTCCCATTCCTGTGTATCATAGATCTTCTCATTGGCATCAAGAGACCTGATAAGATCCATTTCCTTTGATGATAAGGCAACAGAAACTGCTTCAATGTTCTCCTTTGCCCTAGTGACATTATTCGTCTTCGAAATTACGACATTGCCTAATTGGAGATTCCAAGCCAATGCAATCTGTGCAGGAGTTGTATCATGACTGTTTGCTATTTGTTGGAGTATAGGGTCTTTAAGAATATTCCTGCCATTTCCACCATCAGGCCTTGCTGGAGAACTCAATGGAGCATATGCAACAACTGCAATGCCATATTTTTGACAGAACTGTAATAGACCTTCTTGTTGGTAGTAAGGATGTACCTCAACTTGATTTCAAGTAGGTGGAATTTTAGCATACGCGAGCATGTCTATCAATAGCTGAACATTGAAATTAGAGACTCCGATTGACTTAGCTATGCCTAGCTCAACACATCTCTCCATTCCTTGCCATACTTGATGCATTGGAGTTTTCTTAAAAGTTTTCTTATCCTCTTCAAATTCTGGGATAGGCCAATGAATTAAGTACATATCTACATATTTCAGATTGAGTCTTCCAAGGCTTTCTCGAAGAGCTTTAACAGGATTTTCAAACCCTGAGTTCCAGAGCTTAGTAGTGATAAATAACTCATCCCTCGAGATACCAGCTTGAATGGCTTCCTTGATGGCTTTACTAACAAGTTCTTCATTTTCATAGACCTGTGCTGTGTCTATATGGCGATAGCCTAATTCTACAATGCTGTATGTGATAACTTCCTGATTTTGGATATCATAAGTCCCTAAACCAAAGGCTGGCATCTTCTCGCCATTGTTAAGAACAACACTTCGTGAAGTTTCTTGAAGAATTTTCATCGTTCAAATATCATTTTCAGATGTACATCCCTCACATACCCCGTCCGGCTCTTCACTGCAGGATTTAGCCAAATCTATTGGAGAATAGAGCAGAATAATGCATAAAATTAGAAGTTTTAGAATTTTAGTTTCTCCCATTTTCTATAATTTATGATATTTCTCAAGATATTTTAAGTTACGAGGGGTTTTGGGGTTTTGGGGTTTTGGGG